TTGGGATCATCGGTATTCTCGGAATGAGAACTTCCTCACCTTTAAATTTTCCTATCATTATGGTAGCGTAATTACATTGTTCATCAATTTTTGTAACCACCAAACGCGTACGTTGCACAGTTTTGGTTGGTTTATGTTCCTAAGCATTATTACTACGGAGCCAACCTTTAGGAGTAAATTGTGCGGTGGTAAGCCAGGCACGTCCAAAGAATTTAAAAATTCAATTGGATAGTTGGTGGCTTCATCTTCATTTGTGACGCAATCAATAGATTTGAATGAAAGCATTGTTCCAATTATTTTATTTTGAATTATGTGGTTTAGGTCATCTACATCTTTATTCTTTGCTGCTAAAATTGCCCGCTCACTCAACCATTCATTATTTTTGCTATTAGAAACAATTTCTGGAAATACATTGTTGATAAGTTCGTCTTTTGATGAGACAAAATTACAAAAATTGTTTGGAAATGATATTAATCCGCTCGATTCATCGACAGGTACTTGACCATTACCGATACTCAGCAATTGCTTCGAGAAAACTTCAGCAGATGTATCATTAAGCAATGTAACTCTCATGTTTGTTGTCAGTTGCAGTTTCTTCACATAGCGCCATAGATTTGACGATTTGAGGCAAGCGTTTATTTCGTCGGCAGCTGTAGATCTTGGAATTACTGGCAGTATTTGGCGGAAATCGCCAGACAGTAAAATCATTGCTCCTCCGAAACATCTTGAGTCATTGCGTAAATCTTTTAATGTTCGGTTAAGTGCTTCTAATGCACGTTTATGCGCCATTGTGCATTCGTCCCAGATGATGATTTTCGATACCGCTAAAACTTTGGCCATTGCTGAGTGTTTTGCAATATTACACGTTGGTTCTTCAATAGTTTGAAGATTTAACGGTAATTTGAATGCAGAATGAGCCGTACGGCATCCTTCTAACAATGTGGCTGCTATTCCAGAAGAAGCAACTGCAACCGCTATGTTTGATCTCGCCCGAACACTTGCTAAAACTAATGACATGAGGAATGTCTTGCCAGTTCCACCAGGAGCATCTAGAAAATATAAACCACCATTTTCATCATCGATTGCCTTCATTAAAGTATCATAAACTTCCTTTTGTTGGCAATTCAACAGGGGAACATTTGTTTGAACTACTAAATCTAATTCCTGGTGGTCATATTCACGTTCCCGTTCCAATTCTCGATTAAATGTGTCATTCATTTCACGACATGGTGCTGGCATGCCTAACCTGATTAATAAATTACCGCACATGAGGTAACAGATATCTTCGATCAAGAGTAAAGCACGATTGTGTACTTCCTCATTCATCTCAATATCGAAATTTCTAGAACTAACACGAATTTGATGTAAAATATCTTCTGACATATTTCCTTGTATTTGTGCCACAGGTTACATGGATTTGATGGAAAACATGTCGAAATAATTATAGCGAATAATGTGCGTATCTGGCTTGGAGATGCAGAGATAATGGCTTCAGCGATTGTCGTATCCCAATGACTATCGTTTTCTAATAATTTCAATTCCTCACATGCAGCACGATATGTTGGAAATATTACATGATTAACAGTTCGTAGTGACTCAAATGACGTTGGCCCACGCACATTTACCAGCAACAGCCGCAAATAAAAACATTCAATATTCTTTGGATGAACTGTATACATTCGACCAAGAGCTTCAGTAGAACGCACATCTGGATACCCAGGAACCGCATTGCCTTTCTTCCGTCTTTGAAAATTCTTCGATAAAGCATTCCAAGTATAATAACGTGGCATCTCCGAGTAAAGCAAAGTTTGTGCAAACTGATCTCTTTGACAAATTGCAAAAAAACTGGTTAATGTAGTTGCTGGAGGTGTTTCAGCACGTTGCATAGCATTTGAAGCCGTAAAATATACTCGTTGACTATTCTCCAGATGCACCGCCAAATGCATAACAGTAGGATGACGTTCGTGAATGGGAAATGCGAATATACGCCAAATCGCTTCATTACAGTTCACATAACGACCAACTTGATAGCGTGAAATTTCATCGTTGTCATTCGAGGATTGCAATCCAAAAACAGCCATATCACTGCCTTTCGTGACATATTTGCAAATATATTTGATGGACTTAACTGAATTACAGTATTCAATGTTGCAATGCGTCTTGAACGTTTTAGAAATTAGCGGCGAATATGGAACAATCCAACTGTTGTCAACAACGAAATCCATTCTTTTCACTTTTGTTGTGACAGTTTGACCATTGTCATCTGGTGATCGACGACGATACAGCGGATAACCATCATTGCCAGTGACAGTCTCCGCTGTTAATTGCCGTGGATATCGTTTAGAGCACTTTCCATCGACCATGCAAGGTGATTGGGGATTGACGGCACCACACGGTCCATGAATCATATTAGAAGTAACAACATCATGTAGGTCTGGATCGACTTCATAATCAGGAATCTCGGCACATATGATGTCATCTATTTGGTCAGGCTGAATTCTTTCCACTAACCAAATAAGAATGTGTGCGTGTGGCAAGCCTCGCTTTTGCCATTCGATTGAATACAAATATTAGCTGCATTTCCTTCAGTACTAACTGCATCACGTAAATGGATGTACTCCTCAGAACGCAGTTTGGCTTGGTTGAACCTAATGAATGTTAAACGTTCCGTTTCTATTTTTACATACATGTCAACGCAATATTGCTGAAACAATCGACGAAACCGCAGCAAATAGTTGTCAGCATTTTGACGAATCATCAAACGATATGCATAATAATTCATCGAGCTAACATTCTTTATAGTTTCTTCGCCTGAAATTTAAAAATTGAAAATTATTCATTTTACAGGCAAATTTTAAAGGCAAACAATACAGACATTAATCATTTTTTCAAAAAACTTTTTTTTAAATCAGTGTCTTTTACAAATAAATGAAATAAATTATGATACTCATTCTCACCATTCAATGGATTTTTCATTTTAATATTAAAATAATATCCATCTTCTCCTTGCCAAAACATCAGCGGGTATTGCAATGAGTCATATGATCGATGTGTTTCAGATATTTGTTGCAGTTGCCCAGTATCGCGACGTGAAAGCACAATATCGCGTTTTTCCAATTGTTCACCAACAATCAGGATGGCAACTTCGTCTACTATTGGAGCATTAAATGTCCTTTCGTGTGTTCCAGATGATCGTTTATCTGCTCTGATGACAACTTTATAGTCATCACTTGGCATGAGCTCTAAAGCACTCTTAAACAACCTGACCAACGTATGATGTTCATGAAGCAGACACTGTAAGTCGTGAAGAATTGCTCGCTTCATTCCTGCATTGATCTCTAGTCGTCGATCAAGTTGTTCTTCCATGTTGCCCATGAAATATATTTGTAAAAATTATTCTGTGTATCTTCAAAAGGTAGTAATGATCCAATTCGATGATGAATTTGTCCTTGTATCTACAAAATAAAAACCCGACAGTATTAACTGTGTTATAAAATCTTTTTTCGGTGGGAGAAAAAGTTAAGAATTTGCTAATAGATGAAGTAAGTTATTCTTTAACTACATTCTATATAGGTACAAAAATAAGTACCTTAAATGTCGGATTAAATCCTCGTTCTTCGATAATATCTGCTCCAAATGACGTCATTTGGAAACAACCATTGTATTTTTGAGTATTAGCAAGAAAGTGGCGTGATTCTTGTGTTTCGCCACAAAGCAATGAATACAATGGTTCAGGTGGCGGAGTCAACGATGGCAATTTGACTTTACCATTAAGGCAGCATAATCCAGGCGTTTCTTGGGAAAACTTCAATGCACCACAATACTTGCAAACTACGTCCATTTTGCCAATGCAGACGCTAGGATGCAAGCTATAATCATAGCTGCAATCGTATTGAAATGCTTCTCGATTCAAATTTCTTCTTCTGCATCGCAAGTTAACTATTTGTTGATCTATGTTGTTACCTCGAGCACGAAGTCGAGCCATTCTTTCGCGTTGCTGTTCACGTGCAATTGTTTCTTGTTCTTCAGTTCTTGCATTTACAGTATTTTGCAGTCTTCTTGCATTACTGCTTTGTCGGGAAAGATTCGATCGTCTTGGTCGCGGCATTATTAATGAAACTTCACTTCACCTATATATATATATATATATATATATATATATATATATATATATATATAAAACCAAGAACTAATATTCATTCACTAACTAATATTCAACATGAGGTAATAGAGGTTAGAAACACCGAATGACATTTGACAATCGAATGCAAATGTCATGGATGAAATCATTGATAGTATCATAGATTGAATAAACTACATGGATAGTTTATAAATAATTAATTTTAAATTAGAATGAAATAAAGGGATAAAAAGTATCCTATGTCCTTCTCCTGACTCTAAGCTACCTCCATGCCAATTTTCATCTAAATCGGTTCAGCCGTTCGTGAGTTATAAGTGGTAGCACATAAGGCGATCCTCTTTTATATATAGATATATATAATATATATATATATATATATATATATATATATATATATATATATATATATATATATATATATATGTGTGTGTGTGTATATATATATTTTTACATAATTTAATAATTATTTAATGCTAAAATAATTGAGAGTGTTGATGCCATGAATGCCCAAATAGCGGTAATTATGCGCTACATCCAAAATGGCCAGGTTTTGACGACACGTCAAAATCAAGCAATTGATGTGTCACTGCACAAGAATATAGACTTAATGCTGCCACTGAGAACGAGTTAAATGATTTAGAATCGCGTCTAAAAGATGATGCCGAGTTTTGTACAGAATTTGTAAGTCTCCTCTAGTATAAATATAGTAGATACATATATATCTGTATATATGTTTAGTATGTAATATTTATATTTATATATGCACACTTATTTTTTTCATTATTGTTTTAGCAACTCTTAGTAATGAAAGTTGGGGGCATAACTGCACAGGCACACATAGCAAATGTGTGTAGGAGATTGATGAAAAATGAGCTCGCCATGCAATGTTCATGGCTTAGCTTAAAATATAACATAGCAGTTCAAGAAATTGTTCAGAGGTAATTATAAATGATATATATATATATATATATATATATATATATATATATATGATTATAATTATAAATGATATATATTTGTAATTCAAATGTCCCGCCATTACTATTAGTAATGTTGGCAATAGCCCTCCCCTACTCAAACCATGTACCCGCCATCTTATATTTATGTTCATGTCGAAACTGTAAAATAACTCTCTTCTTGCTGAATTGCGAAACAAGTAACAATAAAATAAACTGAGTAATTTTAAGGAAGCATTTTTATTTGACCATATTTTGGTCCATCTCACCGAATAACATATATTTATACCAGCGCTTATCCTTGCTAGATTATGTGTGCTTTGTCATTAACCTATAAACGAGACTTTCGTTATTTATTACAATTCGTTGAGCGAAGTAAAAGCTGCTCGAGGTATTTGAGGTTACCCGGCGTTACAACACGTCGAAGCTAAGTTGCAAGGAGGACAAAATCTACAAGCGGTAGGTTTGTTCGAGGCAGACGATTGGTACGAGGAGGACAATTTGTACGATGCTGCATTATATCCAGCTTCGATTACTACGGTGTTTTCCAGAAGTACGCCAAGGTCAAAGGAGGAACTTTCTAACTCGCAGACCACGTGGGATTTTGGTTATATATTTGAGATCACCTAGCGTGGTTCTCTGTGAAGTATTTATTCTCAAAGCTGATTAGAAGATTTATTTTTATATTAAATGCCATAATATTGTTTTATATTATATTTTAGTTCATCTGTGTTATGTACAGATAGATCCTTTAAATTTTCCAGTAGCTGTTTATATATTTTTTATAGTATTATTATATGTATACTTTTCTTTTCTCTTTTACACTGTATATCAGATTAATATTTATCTTATGTTATTATAGAGCTAGTTAATATTTCATTGTTATTGTGGTTTTCTCATTATTTTTTATTTGTAGATTTGTTTGAACAACTTTAAAATGGCTGACATCGATACTCTGAAAGATGTTCACGAAATTATCAAGACATCTTTTGATTCCATTAGAAAGTTTGTGGCAGGATTCCGTGAGGATGATAACATAAATCTGTTGATTGCACAGAAGCAAAAGTTGGTTGAGCGATCACATGAGTGGGAAACAAATTACATTGAGCTAAATAGGTTGAAGCCAGGGAAGTACACTAAGGTATTTTTAGAATATTCAGAATTATATTAACTTTGATGGCTGAGATTCAGACTTTGATTGATGGTAGGGATATTCCTAAGAATTCGATTAGGGTCTCTAATAGTTCAGTAGATGTTAAGTTGCCTGACATAGTGTTGCCTACATTTAGTGGTGAATTTAGTGAATCGACAGCGTTTATTGACCTGTACAACTCATCGATTCACACAAATGCTAAATTGTCTGACGTGCAGAAGTTGCATTATTTAAAAGGTACTCTCACTGGTTCAGCTTCAAACATTATTTCTTCTTTAAAATTAACTAATGAAAATTACACAGTAGCCTATAATCTCATTTTAAAAACATATGATAATATGTTTTTTAATCATTAATGCTCACTTAAACTCAATCGATAAAATTTCCCCTATTAGTAAAGGTTCTTTTAAAAATTTGAGAGCATTAATGCAAGACAGCAAGTTCAGGCTTTGACTGCATTATTTGAACCAGTCAAGTATTGGGATGTCGTTCTTTTGTTCATGTTGTCGAAAAAGTTGGATAACAACACTAGAGTTGCATGGAATTTATCTCAAACGTCAGCAGAACTACCAAGTTTGAATAGTTTTTTTAATTTTATTGAAATGAGGGGTAGTAGCTTTAGAGAATTCTAGTTCTGTTTGTAAAGAGCCCTCAGCTAAGACAGTCAACATAATTGTGAAGAAGGCTTCTCAACCTTGCATCTGTTGCAAGGGAGAGCATGCCATTTTCCAATGTGCTGATTTCAAAGCTTTGGATGTCAAGAAGCGAAAGGAACTAGTCTCTAAGCATTCATTTTGTATTCGCTGTATAGCTTCGCGACATGGCATTTCGAAGTGCAAATATAAGTATCCTTGCTCTATATGCCAGAAATCACATAATTCTTTGTTGCACGAGGAAAAGGTTTCCCCTATCAACAATAGTAATATTCTTATGACGCATTCGAATCCTCAAACTCTGCTTTCTGCTGTTTCCTTAATTATTTTTGATGCAAATGGCAAAAGACATTCCGTGCGTGCACTTTTAGATAATGGCTCACAAATAAATTTAATTACTAAATCGCTGGCTTCGCGTCTCCAGCTTCCAATTAATTCTTCACTTCATAATTTAAATGTTTTACAAAGGCAGAGTATGACTTGTAATAAGTCTGTGAAGATTAAAATTAAATCTAAACTAACTTCTTTTGAACGCAAATTGTATTGTGTTATCTTCTTATATATAAAAATGGATCGCAAAATGTGTTGGTAAGCGCATAACTCAACAACGCCTGGACCAATTTGGCCAATTCTTTTTTTAAAATGTTCGTTGAAGTCCAAGAATGGTTGTTACGGCGAGAAAAAAACGAATAATTGCCGGGAAAACCCTAAAAACAGCCCTTTTCTTCTTTAATCGAGTAGGCAACGCAATTTGTAAAAAAACAATGATCTATGTCATGACATTTTGTGTAGTTTTTGATAAACTAATTTTGAATATATTTATATAAACATAGAAATATATTTCTATTAATCAAGCTATATTGGCAGCCATAAACTTTTAAATGCTTATAGTGTTTTATTTAACTATTTTTAATTCACAGCGAATTATTATTACCAGGGTGACGGCTCTGTTCAGGATAATTTTTTGCAAAGAATAGAAAAAAGGTAGGCTCAAAACACCGCCACATTACAATTTTTTTTGACAGGACAAAGTCTGTCGGGCCGGCTAGTTATTGATAATATTACTCAACATCTTCCTTCTTCATCTATTGATTATTCTCACTGGAGAATCCCGGATCATGTCCAATTAGCTGATCCAGATTTTAATACTCCAGGTCCAATAGACTTGTTGATGGGCGCCGAGCTATATTTTGACATCCTGCAACAGTGTTGTATCCGCTTAGGGAAGAACTTAACAATTTTGAGGAACAGTCGCTTCGGTTGGTTGTTGTCTGGTGTTTATTCAGGTTTATCTCTAACGAAGATCTCCATGAGGAGTTAGCTAAGTTTTGGCAGATAAAGGAGATCTCTTTGAGCAATTCTCTTACCGGTTCAGATAAGGCTTGTGAGGAACACTGTTTCAAATGTACATCGTTTAGGAAATGGCCAATTTGAAGTTGCTTTACCATTTATTGATGGTAAGAAGTATCAGTTGAGAAATTCTTACACACAGGCAAGAACTCATTTTTTGAATTTGGAACGTAGGCTGATAAAAAATAAGGACTTAAATTTAGCTTACTCCAATTTTATTAATGAGTATGTAAAGTTAGGTCATGCCGAACTTACATCTCTTACAGGAGAAGATTTTGATGTAGTATTTTTTACATCATCACTCGGTTTTCAAGGATGGCAATTTTAATAAAATTCGTGTCGTTTTTGATGCTTCTTGCAAAACTTACACAGGTTTGTCGCTTAATAATGTCATGCATACAGGTCCAAAACTACAACAAGATTTGTTTTCGATTTTGATTCGCTTCAGGTGTCACTTGTATGTTTTTGTCGCTGACATTGTTAAGATGTATAGGCAAATTAAGGTTAGGGATGCAGATGCTAATTCACAATTAATTATTTGGAGAGATTCTCCTCAGAAAAGGCTTGACATTTGTAAGTTGAACACAGTTATATATGGCACTTCATGTGCACCGTACTTGGCCATGCGTTGTCTAAAGATGTTGTCAGAAGAAAATTCTGTCAAGTATCCACTAGCTTCGCAGACTTTAGATAGGGACTGTTATGTCGATGACATAATTACAGATGCATCGTCAGAGCAGGAACTAGGGCAGCTGAAATCGGAGGTCTGTAGTCTGTTGAAGCTAAGTTGTTTTCAGTTACACAAGTAGTCAAGTAATAGTCTTTCGTTGTTAGGTAATGTTCCTAAGGAACAAC